ATTGGGCTGGAGCTGCTGTATCGATGGAAACGCAAACAATGCAAGGGGCCTAACCGAAATACCCGGGCAAGTTTAAACGTAATGAACAAGCTAATTATAAACAAAAKAAATCGATGCCGGTTCTTCATCAAGCACAGTTCCATTTGATAAAATAGCGCGTAAAACATGCATGCATTTTCCTGATCGAAGTGTGTTTGGTGATTGCGAGCGCACTTCACCTTAAAGCTCTGCAAATTCAAATAAAACGTCCAAAAGGACCATATCCAAGATCGCAACGATACTGCACACTTGACTGGTCCTTAAAGTTTAATTCATTCGAAGCAATGCCATCAACTTGCTTTAATACCCTCGTAAATCGTGGGGCGCACGTTGCTGCCGAAAGCGGACGACATCAGCCGAGGCTGAGCGCCGCATTTTGAAGTCACAGTCCGCAACATTCGCATTTTGAGTCCAGACTGGACGGTATGCGAAGGATTTTCTCTGGATCGGGCTACATAAAATCGCACTGCTAGCGCATAATAGAGAGTTATTGGACATGCTAAATACTGTCATGCAGTACTAATGTTATTCCTTATTTTAATACTGCCTTTGCGTTATTTCTGTAACGACATGACAGTTATTGGGATGCCTAGTTCACTGCTTTCAGTATTAAACATGCGTTATTGTGTAACCTAACCTTACACAATTTATTATTAATCATTTTACGTTGGTGTATTTGTATTTTTTACTTTTTCAATTGGATTTTGGTTGCTGTTGATCATTTACGCTTCATTGTTATAATGAAGGAAATTCTAGAAGCCGCAGTCATAGGCGGAGCAAGTGAAAATGAACTTGAATATTACATTTTTGATAATACTTATATTTATAAACAGGGGTGGTTATCAGGCTGAGGAAAGAGAATATTTTTATTTAGACCAAATGTCCGATGAGTATAACTATGTCTTGAAGTGCATACTATTCAAGGCTTAGTGGAGATTCGAGGAACAGATACGATAAACAAACTTTTGCTTGCAAGGTGCACATTATTGAATTGCAAAAATCTAAGTTCTGAAAAACACGACTTGAATATTCTTCAGTTAGGTACATCAGTTTGAACTGACTCACTAACACAGCTTCCCTAAATCTGCTTTGCTCAAATTTCTACAATAAATTGTAAAACACTATCAAATTCTTGTGCACCATGCAGAAACAACTTCAGCTTTGTCTTCCAAGGCAGCTGGTTTTCCTTCAATCAAACATAAACAGTAGCAAAAATCACTTTTTTGTATAAATACCAGTTATGAAATGTCGTAAGCAAATACGATCATTTCTCATATAGATTTAACGTAGAGGCGCCCGTTTTAAAGCCTCAACACAAGCAATTCGACGTTCACTAGA